TATTATAAAGCATTTGATAAAAATTATTTAAACCATTTTTTATGCATGATGTACTGTTTATTGATTCATATTACTTAAAAATTCAAGATTACAAGTAAAATTGTGCGTAAGTACAACTTATTAAATCTTCATGTTTGAATTCGTGTAACTAACTGCAAATAAACATAATCAAATAAAATGATAACATCTCATTTAAATACAAAAAATCTAAAATATAATTAGGATAGTCATCGAATTCTAACAAAATACTTAATTATTATCTTATAAAAAATTGTATTATTAAACAAAAAAAAAAGAATTAAAAAAATAAACAAAAATGGAGAAATTTTAAATAGTTAGTTTGATATTAAAATCAATTTTTTATATCTTCATATTTACATTTTATTTAAAAATAAAAACGTTATCCTTTTCTCAAAACCACATAAAACCGGTTGGTCTCATGTAATTCCAACTCACAAGTCTACATAAAAAAAGTTGAACTTTCACAGCAATGACACTGTGAATGTTACTTTCATAGCATTTTGATGTGAAATTTCAAGTGTAAAAAAATAGTTTCATGAAAACAGGTTGGGCTCATGTAATTCCAACTCACAAGTCTACATAAATATGTTAAGTTAAATATTACTCTGTAGTATTTTTTATAATGCTCATATATGTCGTATATTGATGACTATTGTAATTACTTCTTATTTTTAACGAGAAAAGAGTGCATTAAAGATAAACGAGAAACAAGACAAGGCTGGAAAAATAAATATAAAGAAACGGTTGTTTTACAATCTTTTATATTGTTTTAAGAACATTATATTATAATAATATTTAGAGTAGTATTAAAATGTTTACTATAACAAATTAGATGTACAATAATTACTATATATATGAACTTATGTTTTACATATATGCTTGAGGTTTAACAATATTATTTACAGTTTAAAATGAAATTTTAGTTTACTATTTGTTCATTATCCGTTTTGTTACCCTCTATTTTAATGACTAGGATAGGATATGGATAATAGGTTTACCGAGATGAATAATTACTCATTTTATTACCCAGTTTTAAATGGAGCTCTATATAGAAATCCAAATTTTTGTAGAACTTGCTCCTCCCAAATAAAAATAATGCGCTTGTTTCATTTATGAAAAACTACTTTTAAATAAAAAAAACTTTCTCGATCTATTCAGACAGATTAATCCGTATAGATAACTTTATTCAGGGGGTGTTTGAGATTACTTATAAAAGCTGATTTTTAACTTATTTCAGTCTGACACCGGTGATAAGTTGTTTTATGTTGTTTGGATAAGAAAAAAAAAAAAAAACTGTTTAGACCGGTGTCAAACCGGTAATAAGCTGTTTTGATAAGTTAATCTTTCCTAACTTATGAAAAACTGCTTATTAACAGTTTATAATTTTACCCCTGTTTTATTTAACTCCGATTTGATACCACATAAGTTAATAAGCACTTTTACAAAAACAAAAAAAAA